AGATTGGAGGAAAATATTTTGAAACTACTCACGTGACAAGGAATTAACAACCACAATATATAAGAAGCTCAAACAACTCTATAGAAAAAATTTAATAATCCAATTTAGAAAATGGACAAAAGATTTGAATAGACATTTATCAAAAGAAGACATACAAATGCCAAACAGGCGTATGAAAAGTTGCTCAACATCATTGATCATTGGAGAACTGCAAATTAAAACTGCAACGAGTTATCACCTCACTCCAGTCAAAATGCCTTATATTCAAAAGGAAGCAATAATAAAGGCTGATAAGAATGTGGAGAAAAGGCCGCCTTTGCACACTGCTAGTGGGAGTGTAAATTAATACAACCACTATGGAAGACAGTTTGAAGGTTTCCCCCAAAAACTAAAATTAAACTACCATATGATACAGCAAACCCACTGCCAGGTATATACCCAAAAGAAAGGAAATCAGTATATTGAAGAGATATCTGGAGAGGTGGGGCCATGATTGCTGACTTGAAGCAGTGGAGATCAGAGACTCCCATCAATAAGAACTAAAACAGTGTGTGAATCCTGCACCAACAACGGAGGTATCCACGTTCTGTCATCAGGACTGACTAGACGGCTGGGATGACCCACAGAGAGGAAGAAAGAGCAGTGTGGTGTGGTGGCACATCTATGAGCCACACGGGGCGAAGTAGCCCCCAACCCCCAGTCAAGGGAGGCAGTGAGTGAGTGTGCTACCCAGCCTGGGAAACAGTGCTTTTGCACAATTCCTGTGCAAAAGAACTATGCAACCCATGGAATGAAAGATCCTACTCATGAGCCTATGCCACTGGGACCTAGGGTCCCAACCACGGAGCTGTGCAGATTCTCAACGCTCACTCAGCTAGAATCTTCTTAAGCCTGCTGAGTTCCTTGGCAGAGGGGCGGCCGTCACCACAGCTGTTGCTGCCTGCTGTCTAAGCCATCTGAGTTCCTTGGGGGAGGGGTGGCAACCAACACTGGGACTGCTAGCTGCCGAACACACTGAGCTTCCAGAACTGGGAAAGGGTGGCAGCCATCTCTATAGCTCCAGGTAACACTTTTACCCTGCTAGAGCCTGGGATGCTGGACGGCCAGGTCCCAAGAGGTATTCCCCACAGCCCAACACACCAGCTGTGGAAGACTGCAGTCAGAGTGCCTCTTCAGGTCTGACCCTGACAAATGCCTCCTCACTGGGTGGGGCGTCTTAACACTGTTTTAGCTGTGTCCCAGATATTCTGGTACATTGTCTCTTTGTTCTCATTGGTTTCAAATAACTTCTTGATCTCTGCCTTAATTTTATTATTTACTCAGGAGTCATTCAGGAGCAGGTTGTTCAATTTCCATGTAATTGTGTGGTTTTGAGTGAGTTTCTTAATCCTGAGTTCTAATTAGATTTCACTGTTACGATTTCAGTCCTTTTGCATTTGCTGAGGAGTTTACTTCCAATTCTGTGGTTGATTATAGAATAAATGCCATGCACCACTGAGAAGAATGTATATTATATTGATTTGGAGTGGAGAGTACTGTAGATATCTATTAGGTCCACTTGACGCAGAGCTGAGATCAAGTCCTGAATATTCTTGTTGATTTTCTGTCTCATTGATCCATCTAATATTGACAGTGGAGTGTTAAAGTCTTCCCCTATTATTGTGTGGGAGTCCAAGTCTCTTTGTAGGTCTCTAAGAACTTGTTTTATGAATCTGAGTGCTCATGTATTGGGTGCATATACATTTAGGATAGTTAGCTGTTCTTGTTGAATTGATCCCTTTACCTTCCTTTTCTTATTTGATCTTTGTTGGTTTAAAGTGTCTTTTGTCAGAAACCAGGATTGTAACTCCTACTTTTTTCCACTTTCCATTTGCTTGGTAAATTTTCCTCCAGTCCTTTTTTTTCAGTCTATGTGTGCCTTTGCAAATGAGATGGGTCTCCTCAGTAAAGCACACTGATGGGTCTTGCCTCTTTATCCAATTTCCCAGTCTGTGTCTTTTATTTGGGATATTTAGCCCATTTACATTTAAGGTTAATATTTTTATGTGTGAATTTGATCTTGTCATCATGATGCTAGCTGGTTATTTTGCACACTAGTTGATGCAGTTTCTTCATAGTGTCATTGGTCTTTACAATTTAATGTGTTTTTGTAGTGGTTGGTACCAGGTTTTCCTTTGCATATTTAGTGATTCTTTCAGGAGCTCTTCCAAGACACGCCTAGTGGTGACAAAATCCCTGAGTAGTATTCCATTGTATACGTATACCTTGGTTTCCTTATCCAAAGTTAAGACAAAAGAAAGAATAAAAAGCGCCAAGTAACCTATAAAGAAAAGTCTATCAGATTAACAGCAGATTTCTCAGCAGAAACCCTACAAGCTATAAGAGATTGGCAGCTGGTGACTGGCAAGATGGCCGAATAGGAACAATTCTGGTCTGCAGCTCCCAGTGAGATCAATGCAAAAAGGCGGGTGATTTCTGCATTTCCAACTGAGGTATCTGGCTCATCTCATTGGGACTGGTTAGACAGTGGGTACAACCCACAGAGGGTGAGCAGAAACAGGGTGGGGCATTGATTCACCTGGGAAGCACAAGGGGTCAGGGAACTCCCTCCTCTACCCAAGGGAAGCTGTGAGGGGCTGTGCCGTGAGGGACAGTGCACTCTGGCCCCAGATACTATGCTTTTCCCACTGTCTTCACAACCCATAGACCAGGAGATTCCCTTGGGTGCCTACGCCACCAGGGCCCTGAGTTTTTAGCACAAAACTGATTGGCAGGCAGACACCAAACTACCTGCAGGAGTTTTTTTTCATACCCCAGTGGCACCTGGAATGCCAGTGAGACAGACCTTTTTAGCCTTCTTAAAGAAATAAATGCAAGTCAAAATTTTATATCCTGCCAAACTAAGTTTCATAAATGAGGGTAAAAAAGTCTTTCCAAGATAAGAAAATGCTAAAGGAATTTTTATCACCACTAGATCAGTCCTACAAGAAATATTAAAAGGAGTTCTAAGCATGAAAGCAAAAGGGTGATACTCATAATCATAAAACCACTTGTAAGTGCAAAATTTACATCCTATAAAGCAGTGACAAAATGGAGACTACAAATCAGCTAACAACACTGTGACAGAAAGAAAACCTCACATACCAATATTAACTCTAAACACAACTGGCTTACATTTTCCACTTAAAAGATATAGACTGGAAAATTGGATACAATGAAAAAGACTTAACCACTTTCTGCCTACAAGAGACACAGAAAATGGCTAAAGGCACCTACAGATTTAAAGTAAAGATGTGAGAAAAGATATATCACATACATGGAAAAAAAAGTAAGTAGGAGCAGCTGTTCATATATCACATAAAACAAACTCTAAATCAACAACAGTAAAAAAAGGACAAAGGAGAGCCTTGTATAATGATAAAGTGGTCAATAGAACAAGAATAAGTATTCTAAATATGTATGCATTAAATACAATAGCACTCACATTCAGAAAACAACTACCACTAAGCTTAAAAAAGAAATGAACAGCAATAAAATAATAGTGGGGGACTTTAGCACCACACTGACAACACTAAACAGAGCATCAAGGCAGAAAATTAACAAAAAATTATAGTTAAACTAGACTGTTGACCAAATAGAACTAATAGACATTTACAGAACATTCTACCCAGCAACTGCAGAATATACTTTTTCTCATCTGCACATAGAACATCCTCCAAAATTGGTCCTATCCTGGGCCATGAAACAAGTCAATAAATTCAATAAAAAGCAAAATTCTATCAAGTATCTTCTTGGACCACAATAAGATAAAATTAGAAGCAATGCCAAGTAGAACTCTCAAAACTATACAAGTACACTGAAGCTAAACAACTTGCTCCTAAATAACTTTTGAGTAAACAACAAAATTAAGGCAGAAATAAAACAAATTTTTTAAATGAATAAAAATAGAGATACAACATAGCAAAACCTCTGGGATACAGCAAAAGCAGTGTTAAGAGGAAAGTTTATAGCATTAAATGCCTACATCAAAGGCATAGAAAGATCTCAAACGAACAACTTAACATTGCACCTCAAGCAATTTGAGAAACAAGAACAAACTAAATCCAAAGTTAGCTTAAGAAAATAAGTTACAAAGATTTAGCAGAAATAAACAAGATTGAGACCACAAAACTATGCAAATTATTAACAAAAAAACAAGATTGAGACCACAAAACTATGCAAATTATTAACAAAAAAGTTTGTTCTTTGACATAATAATGAAATTTATAGACCACTAGCTAGATTAACCAAGAAGAAAGAGAAGATTCAAATAAACACGATAAGAAATAATAGAGGTCACAATAGATTCCACAGAAATGCAAACGATTATCAGAGACTACTATGAACATTGCTATGTGCACAAACTAAAAAATCTAGAGGAAGTAAATAAATTTCTGGAAACATAAAACCTACCAATATTGACTAGGAAGAAATAGAAAAAAATAAATTCATTGAGATAGTGAGTAGAAGGATTGTTACCAGAGGCTGGGAAGGGTAGGAGGGAGTTGGGGGGGATGTAGGGATGGTTAATGGGTACAAAAAAAAAATAGAAGGAATGAATAAAACCTAGTATGTGATATTACAACAGGGGGCTATAGACAATTATAATTGATATTGTTTGTATGTGTGTGCCTATCCAAATCTTATATTAAAATATAATCCCCAGTGTTGGAGGTGGGACCTGGTGAGAGGTGATTTAATCTGGGGGTGGATTTCTCATGAATGGTTCAGCAGTATTTCCCTTGGTACTTTTCTCATAATAGTGAGTGAATTCTCGTGAGAGCTGGTCATTTTAAAATGTGTAGCACCTCTCCTCTCACTCTCTTGCTCCTGCTTTCACCATGTGATGTTACGCCTCTCCCTTTGCCTTCTTCCATGATTAGAAGCTTGCTGAGGCCTCCTCAGAAGCAGATGATGCTGTGATTTCTGTACAACCTGCAGAATCATGTTCCAATAGTTAATTTTATTTGTTCAAGAACTCATTGCAAGCATTAAACCAAGCATAGGCTTTGATTCTGTGAGCCCAAATTCACATGTTGAAGAAGATCAAAGCAAACTGTGATCCATGTAAATGGATGAAAACTAAAGGCTCAGAGTTAATCATATTGTAGTTTTTAAACTTCTACAGCCTAGAGCTCAGTAGTCACAGGTCTTTTAGGTCCTTCTGGATGTCCCACAGGGTATCTGTACTTTTCTTGAACTGAGCAACCTCATTATCCTTTAGCTTCTGGTTGATAGTGCTGGTTAATCCCAGGGCGTTGAGGATACACAGAAGGCTCAGGAAGACTTCGTTCTCGATGCCATACATCCCCTTTACCATTGTTGACATGGGATGAATCCTGGGTAGATTATTCATCACGGATTCAATAAGACCAGTCACACTTAATCCAATAGCCCAGTTGGTATATCCTTTTAGCTTGATGACTTCATGGGCACTTTCAACCACTATCTTATGCACTTCCTTCCAATTTTCACTGTCATCGTCAGTTCCTATTTCTGGATTCAATTCCTGGAGAGAAAAACCTGCCACATTCACGCCAATCCACACAGTCACATTTGAGTCGCTATGTTCCCCCAAAATCCATACATGGCAGCTGCTGGGATGAATGCCAAGGTTTTCAGCCATAAGGCAGTGAAATCTAGCAGAATCCGGATTACATCCACTTCCAATCACACTTTGGGTAATCCACTTATTTTCCAGGTAACATATATAAGAATGTCTACTAGGTTGGAAACCACAATTATGAGGCATTCAGGAGTGAACTTGACCATCTGAGGAATAATGAATTTGAAGACATTAACATTTTTCTGCACCAAATTGAGATGCCTCTCCCCCTCTTGCTGACGGACTCCTGCAGTTACCACTACAATCTTAGAACTGGCGGTCACAGAACAATCTTTATCTGCCACAATTTTAAGTGTCTGGAGAAATAAACTCCCATGCTGCGGATTGATCATTTCTCCCTTAAGCTTACCTTCCAAAACATCCACAAGAGCAAGGTCATCAGCCAGAGACTTTCCCAGAACGCAGATAGCACATGACATACCAACTAGTCCAAAACTCACTGCAGTGATCTTATTGTTTTGGACTGTTGCCTCTTCTTCCGCAACTGGTGCAGTGAGTTTTTCCTTAAGAGTTGCCATTTTGTACAGGAGAGAAAAGGCTCTGGAGACCGCTGTAACAGTCATGTGGAGGAGACAATGTCAGCTGCGTCAAAACTTTCTTTCTTTATAAATTACCCAGTCTTAGGTATTTCTTTATAACCATGTGAGAACAGTCTAACACAATAATTCAGTTGCACAGTTTAGAGTACCTAAAAAGAGTTATAATTGGATTGTTTGTAACACAAAAGATATATACTTCAGGGAATGGATACTCCATTTTCTATGATGTGTTTATTATGCATTGTGTGCCTGTACCAAAACATCTAATTTACTTCACAAGTATATACACCTACTATGTACTCACAAAAATTAAAATCAAAACTAAAACAGCATTGTACTAGTACAAAAATAGACACACAGGTCACTGGAACAGATTAGAAAATCCTGAAATAAAGCCATGCATCTATGACCAACTGACCTTCAACAAAACCAGCATAAATAAGCAATGAAGAAAGAACTCCTTTTCCACTAATTGGTGTTGAATGAATTGGCCAGCCATATGCAGAAGAATAAATCTGGACCTTCACCTATCATGATATACAAAAATTAACTAAAAATGGATTAAAGACCTAAATGTAAAGCCTGAAACTATAAAAATTCCAGAAGAAAATCAAGGAGAAACTCTTCTGGTCATGGATTTAGGAAAATAATTTATAAATAAGACCTCAAAAGTGAATACAAAAAAAAAAAAAAAAAAAACCCAAATAGACAAAAGGGACCAAATTAAACTAAGAAGCTTCTGCAGAGCAATAGAAATATTCAACAGAGTAAACAGACAACCTACAAAATGGGAGAAAATATTTGTAAATTAATCTTTTGACAAAAATAATCTTAAAGGAAATCAAACAACTCAACAAGAAAAAACAACTTCATTAAAAAGTGGACAAAGAACAAGAATGAGCATTTTTTAAAAGAAGACATACAAGCAGCTAAGAAACATGAAATAATGCACATCAGTAATAATCAGATAAATGCAAATTAAAACCACAATGAGAAACTAGTTTATACTAGTCAGAATTATTATTATTAAAAAATCAAAAACAGTAGATGTTGGCATGGATGTGGAGAAACACAGATGTTTATGCACTGTTGCTGGGAATGTAAGTTAGCACAAGCCTCGTGTAAAACAGTATGAAAATATTTCAAAGAACTGAAAATAGAACTACCATTCTACCCAGCAATCTAACTACTAATCTACCCAAAGGAAAATAAACTATTTTATAAAAAAGAAATCTGCACTCATATGTTTATTCATAGTAGCAAAGTCATGAGATTAACCTCATTATCCTCACTGGTTGATTGAATAAATATAATATGGTACAGATACACAATGGAATACTATGCAGCCATAAAAAGAATAAAATCTTGTTCTTTGCCAGAATATGGAAGGGGCTGTAGGCCATTGTCCTAAGTGAAATAACTCAGAAACAGAAAATCAAACACTGCAGGTTCTCACTTATTAGTTGGAGTTAAACAATGGGTACGCATAGGCACAAAGATGAATGTTATGAACACTAGGGGCTCCAAACAAGGAGAGGGGGAGAGGAGTGTGAGTGTTGTAAAAATATCTCTTGGGTACAATGTTCACTATTTGAATGATGGGTATACCAGAAGCTCAAACCTTACCATTATGCACTATATTCATGTAAGAAACCTACACATGTACCCCTTGAAAATAAAGTTAAAATGCATATTCTATTTTGGTTGTGCATAACATGAGTGAAAAATATGAGAAAATAGGATAAATATTTTATTTCTAGTGTGCTCCCCTCCACCAAAAATGATGAATGATAACAAGTGTTGTCAAGGATGTGGAAAACAGGGTACACTTGTACCTAATTGGTAAAAATATAAACTAGTAAAACCATTTTAAAAATTGTATGGCGCTTCCTCAGAAAGATAAAAATAGAATTACCATATGATCCAGCAATCCCACCCCCTTGTATTTACTCCAAAGGTATGAAATCTGTATGTTAAAAAGAAGTCTGCATTTTCATGTTCATTGCAGCACTGTTTGTAACAGCCAAGTTATAGAATCAACCTTAGTGTCTATCAACATGAATGTTGGCATGGATGTGGAGAAACAGGGATGCTTATGCAATGTTGGTGGGAATGAAGAAAGATATGAAGATGAATGAAGAAAGATAATGTGGTGTATATAGGCATGTTTTATTTAATTCCACTTCACAGTTATTGACTTTTTTTTTTTTTTTTCAAATTGAAGGTTTGTAGCAATCCTGCATCAACCAAGTTTATCGGTGCCATTTTTCCAACCGCATGTGTTCACACAATGTTTGTGTCATATTTTGGCAATTCTCACAATATTTTAAGTCTTTTGATTTTATTATATTTGTCATGATGATCTGTGATTAGTGATCTTACTATTGAAATTGTTTTGAGAGGCTAATTATGCCCATATAAGACAGTGACCTTAATAAATATACAAGTGTATTTTGACTGATCTACTTACTGGCTTTTCCCCTATCTCTCTCCCTCTCCCCAGGCCTCCTCATTTCCTGAGACACAACAATATTAAAATTAGATTAATTAATAAGCCTACAATGACCTCTAAGAGTGCAAGTCAAAGGAAGAGTTACACATCTCTTAATTTAAATCAAAAGGTAGAAGAGACTAAGTTTTGTTAGTAATAAATGTCAAAACCCAAGATAGGTCCAAAGCTAGGCCTCTAGCACCAAGCAGCCATTCTGTGAATGCAAAGGAATAGTTCCTGAAGCAAATTTAAAATGCTACTCCAGTGAACACATGAATGAAAAGAAAGTAAAACAGCTTTATTGCTGATGTGGACAAAGTTTTAGTGGTCTGGATAGAAAATCAAATCAGTTCCTACACTCTTTCAAGCTAAAATCTAATCCTAACAATGCCCTGACTCACTTAAATTCTATGAAGGCTGAGATAGGGGAAGAAACTGAAGAAGAAAACTTTGAATCTAGCAGAGACTGGTTCATAAGGTTGAAGGAAAGAAGCCATCTTCACAACATAGAAGGATATGTGAACCAACAAATATTGATGTAAAAGTTGCAGCAAATTATTTAGAAGATTTAGCTAAGATAATTGACAAAGGTGGCTACAGTAAATGATATATATATATATATATATTATATTATACCTTAAGTTCTAGGATACACGTGCACAACGTGCAGGTTTGTTCCATATGTATACATGTGCCATGTTGGTGTGCTGCACCCATTAACTCATCATTTACATTAGGTATATCTCCTAATGCTATCCCTACCCCCTCCCCCTCCCCACAATAGACCTCGATGTGTGATGTTCCCCTTCCTGTGTCCAAGTGATCTCATTGTTCAATTCCCACCTATGAGTGAGAACATGCAGTATTTGGTTTTCTGTTCTTGTGATAGTTTGCTGAGAATGATGGTTTCCAGCTGCATCCATGTCCCTACAAAGGACATAAACTCATCCTTTTTTATGGCTGCATAGTATTCCATGGTGTATATGTGCCACATTTTCTTAATCCAATCTGTCACTGATGGACATTTGGATTGATTCCAAGTCTTTGCTATTGTGATTAGTGCCGCAATAAACATACATGTTCATGTATCTTTATAGCAGCATGACTTATAATCCTTTGGGTATATACCCAGTAAAGGGATGGCTGGGTCAAATGGTATTTCTAGATCTAGATCCTTGAGGAATCACTACACTGTTTTCCATAATGGTTGAATTAGTTTACAATCCCACCAACAGTGTAAAAGTGTTCCTATTTCTCCACATCCTCTCCAGCACCTGTTGTTTCCTGACTTTTTAATGATTGCCATTCTAACTGGTGTGAGATGGTATCTCATTGTGGTTTTGATTTGCATTTCTCTCATGGCCAATGATGATGAGCATTTTTTTGTGTGTCTGTTGGCTGTATGAGTGTCTTCTTTTGAGAAATGTCTGTTCATATCCTTTTCACACTTTTTGATGGGATTGTTTGTTTTTTTCTTGTAAATTTGTTTGAGTTCTTTATAGGGTCTGGATATTAGCCCTTTTTCAGATGAGTAGATTGCAAAAATGTTCTCCCATTCTGTAGGTTGCCTGTTCACTCTGATGGTAGTTTCTTTTGCTGTGCAGAAGTTCTTTAGTTTAATTAGATCCCATTTGTCAATTTTGGCTTTTGTTGCCATTGCTTTTGGTGTTTTAGACGTGAAGTCCTTGCCCATGCCTATGACCTGAATGGTATTACCTAGGTTTTCTTCTAGGGTTTTTATGGTTTTAGGTCTAACATTTAAGTCTCTAATCCATCTTGAATTAAATTCCGTATAAGGAGTAAGGAAAGGATCCAGTTTCAGCTTTCTACTTATGGCTAGCCAATTTTCCCAGCACCATTTATTAAATAGGGAATCCTTTCCCCATTTCTTGTTTCTCTCAGGTTTGTCAAAGATCAGATGGCTGTAGATGTGTGGTATTATTTTTGAGTGTTCTGTTCTGTTCCATTGGTCTATATCTCTGTTTTGGTACCAGTACCATGCTGTTTTGGTTACTGTAGCCTTGTAGTATAGTTTGAAGTCAGTTAGCATGATGCTTCCAGCTTTGTTCTTTTGACTTAGGATTGTCTTGGCAATGCGGGCTCTTTTTTGGTTCCATATGAACTTTAAAGCAGTTTTTTTCCAATTCTGTGAAGAAACTCATTGGTAGCTTGATGGGGATGGCATTGAATCTATAAATTACCTTGGGCAGTATGGCCATTTTCACGATATTGATTCTTCCTATCCATGAGCATGGTATGTTCTTCCATTTGTTTGTGTCCTCTTGTATTTCGCTGAGCAGTGGTTTGTAGTTCTCCTTGAAGAGGTCCTTTACATCCCTTGTAAGTTGGATTCCTAGGTATTTTATTCTCTTTAAAGCTATTGTGAATGGGAGTTCATTCCTGATTTGGCTCTCTGTTTGTCTGTTACTGGTGTATAAGAATGCTTGTGATTTTTGCACATTGATATTGTCTCCTGAGACTTTGCTGAAGTTGCTTATCAGTTTAAGATTTTGGGCTGAGACAATGGAAAACCCACTATTATTAACTACTGCCATTGAGTAAATAGAGCAATGGGCCATGACCTTTTGAGTTCCATTTAAGGAATGCCCAGAGACAGTGTGTACCCAGTATTATAAACAAGATGCTTGTGATTTATGCGATCAAATTAAAAATGCTGTATTTCAAAGACAATAACCACAAACACAAAAGGATTGCCAAAATAAAATTATAATTTATAATGATCCACGGGATGATGACAAATGTAAACAATATAAATCCTTACAATTATTGGTGTCTTTTCTTATTATGATGTTCTTGCTCCCCTCTAGTACAAACCCCATTTATTAAGACTCTGTGTAGAACTTATTAATAAATAGCCTTTGCTTTCCACATTTGGGTGGTCTTTGTTATTCCAACAGTATATTATTTGGGACACCCCAGAAAAATAACATTGGTCAGAAATTTTCCCCAAATAGTTCTCAAGCCTTTATTCATGGCAATTTTGGTATTTTTTAAATATTTGCAAAATTTCTAATAAATATAAGCAAGTAGTTGTCAATTTGGATAGAGAAACTCCAATGCAGAGAGCAGTTAGAGTTCTTCATGGGATCAAATATGTTTTTAGTAGGAATTGTCTTTGCTGTAACCCTCAAGAGCTATGAAAATTTTGTACTAACTAAGTGGCCAGGGGCATCTTACTATGGACTTC